TTGAGCTTGCTAGGGCACCTACTGTACCCAGGCCACCTGGTTATCCGTATCCTGTAGACCAGGTTGATCGTATTATATATGTCGATGATGAGGCCGAGCTGGGTGAGAGGGCCGAGTCTGATGAGGACTTGAGCAGTCAGGGCTCAGAGGACCACTCTACTATCGGGCAGTGGACGACAGACTCTGGCATGCCTGGAGGTCGTAGTCGCAGCTCAGGGTCAGGTGGTTCGGGGGTTGGCAGTAGGAGTATAGCTGCCGTAAGTCTTGCTTCTTCTGTACGTTCTGTGCAGGCCTCTCGTGAGATTGAAGCTGGTAGTGGTTCTTGGGAGCTGTGGGGTGTAGTTGTTTTGTTGGTGAGTTGTAGTATGCTTCTAGGGGCGGCTTGCCTCTATGCTGCTTGGTGGTGCACCAAGAGTCGCACTGTCAAAATGAGCTCTGATGAGGATTGGGGTCATGATGATGGCAATGAGGATCTGTGTCTGTCCAAGTTTCAGACCTCAGTTCGGAGGCGTAGAGGCTCTCCTGTAGTTCTTTCGCCAGTGGTGAACATTAATGTAACAAATGAAGCCTCGCGGCAGAGTGAAGAGAAGCATGAAAGGGAGCTTACAGCTCAGGCAGCAAGCACTCCGGGAGAGAATCCCTCTGCAGCATCCTCCTCGGTAGGACCCTGTGGTTTAGGACTCCCCAGTAACCCCAAGATTCGGGAGAAGACCGGGGTGCAGAGCCAAAGCCCTGTAGGACCCTGTGGTTTAGGACTCCCCAGTGACCCTAAGACCCGTGAGACGACAGGGATGCGGAGCCAGAGCCCTGTAGGACCTTGTGGTTTAGGACTCCCGAGATTGCCCGGTAGGTCGTCGACCCAGCAGAGAGCTGGATCACGAGAGCAGGCGAGTGGTTCATCAGACCAGCCGGTTGATATTCCTGTAGATTACGTACCTAGACCAAGAGATTTCAAGAAATATCAGATTTACAGTTGCTCCGAAGTTGTTGGGGATCATGTTGTGTTCTTGACACAAAACGGGGACTGTTTTCATAGAACCTTGCAGTGTCCAGCAGCAAGTAAGTCGTCGGCAGTGAGAATTAGATACACGTGTAGTGTATGTAATGCTGGGGAAGAGTTTCCGAGGCAGGATGTTGTCCACTTTACTAGATTGGGAAGACGAGTTCACGGGAACTCAACCTGTCCAGCCCTGGATACTGCTCAGGAGGTTCTAGCTCGCCGCAGGTGTAAGTTCTGTCAGCTCCGAAAACATAAACAGTTTTGCGCGAGCATGCTATGCTCCAGGGCGATTGGGTCCGCACAACCGCATGGAGCGAAGGGGTGTCAGGCATTTTGCAGGGCATCACCTGAGGAAATGAAGAAGAACTTCATTGGGGGAGTGACAGTGTGATGCCAAGTCAACACGTTTGGGGCATGCAGCTACTGCCTTGTGCGTGTCTGGCAGAGCATGTCGCTCAAAGTGCTCAGGAGTCGTAGGCTTGGTGATCCTTTAAAGGTTCCAGTTGCCAGGTGCTCCATAAACCTTTTCACTTCAATAGCGTTCTTCATAGTGTCATCTTTTTTTCAAAAGAGTTGTCATGTCTTCAGACTTCTCAGATTTCGTTGTGTGCGCTGTGGTAAAACGGTGCGTTGCGGGCAGTTTGCGAGAGCAGCCTGCCTTAAAGGCAGAAAGGATTGGGGCGATCCTTTCAGAATTCTCAAGCATTGCATCGGATCAAGTCTTTGAGATTTCCACAGGACGAATAATTTCATCCAGTATATTCACCTTGAGAACAGAAGAATTGAGACATGAGTGGGGCCCTATACTAGCTTAATCCTTATAAAATCTATGTAGTACCCTTATAGTAGCCTAAACCCTAAACCCTCTAGCACCCTTGCAGCAGCTTAAGCCATAAATTCCATGGTAGGTTTGTACGGGGCTTTCGGAACGCCGAATCCTTAACCCTCGAAGCCTTGGCTTCCTTAAGCTTAGGGTTAAAGGATATTTTTTAATAAGTTGTGCGTTGCACCCACCACGCACACCGACACTGTAACTCAAGACACCTCACCCCATACCCCCCAACACACCACTAGACTGTTTAAATTACTTGAGTCACTTGCAGTTACAACTCACCGGACCCTGAAGGCTCATGACCCAAGCCCCAGAAGGAGAAGGAGTGATGGTGTTGTGAAGTTGACGGCGCAAACCCCTGACCATCAAAACGGCTGGTTCCAGCCAATGGAGCTTGGAACACCAGTTCATGCTGGACACCCGATTGCCGAGAAATTTTATTTTGCCTGCCAGTCAAATGCTGCCAGGTGAGCCCACCTGCGGGAGCCCCAAAAGGCCGCAGCGGAGAGTTTGCCGGCTTGGGATTTGAGAAATGTGACAATGGACGCTGCTCTTCCCCACTTTCCCCACCCCCAAGACTCCAGACATCATGAGCATCATATGCATCATCGAGGACCCGTTTCTCCATCAAGGCACCCTTCAATACGAGCCCGCCAGGGCCGAAAAAAGAGGCAGGTGGACACGCCCCAAACCGTCCCCAGCNNNACTATTGAAACGAAAGGCTCTCTGGGAGAGAGCTTGCCCGCAGGCAGCACGCTTTCGATCGATCTCGTGTCCGTCCGTGGGGCCAGCGTCTCCTGCGTTGGCCACGTGGTTAACCCAATCTCGCTGTTCAAGGCCAGCTTGGGTGGCATGATGCCGAGACGACGTGTCTCATTCAAGCAGCTGGGTTGTGGGGACCACGAAATGCTTCGCAGGACAACTCGCACGGTCCAACAGCCTTTATCCTACAAGTGCCGGTGTCCCGCATCCGGCTGAATGGGGTATCCATCCCGGTGTTTTTAAGAAATGGCAGCATGCCCGCAAATTTTTTTGGATGAACAAGCCCCACGCAAATTATGCTTCAAATTTGGATCATGCTGACAGTTTGCAGCCATACTCACCTGGGGAGCCAGTGCCATGCTTACAATGGCCGGTCGTCAGCGGGGACTCGCTGCATCAGTCGCGGAACCACTGGTCCAAGAAGGCCCGGCGCCATGTAGCAGCAACATGCCGAAAAAGGTGGCACTAAACGTCGAGGGCCTCTGCCTCTCCACCGCCAGCTCGAGCTCCGTGCATGGCTGCCATCAGCGGGCAAGCGCCTGTGCCCTGCCGGCTCCGCCAGGTCCAGGATGCGGTCCAAGTTTGGGCCGCCTTGGCATGGCTGTCCCAGAGCAGTGCTGGCCACGGCTTGCTGGACCACCATTGAAAGTTGGCACCACCACGCCGGGGCACGGTAAGAGAGGAGGCGGACGAGGGCCTGCACGAAGCGAAGGGCGTCCGTATTCCATCGCCCTCCGACTTCGGAACCCAACACCACGAGTCGCTGCCGGCCGCCAGCTACGAGCTCGGGATACATCGCCCTTTTGCGGCGCTCTGCGACCCGCAACACTGGCACCGTCGACAGGCCTAAGCACAAGGTTGTGGCTGACCTAAGGCGCCACCCATAGACAATGCACCGTAGACGACCATGTCCAAGCGGCGTCATTGCTGCGGGACGATTTGGCCTTCTGCGCCGACCGCCTCGCGCGCAACGCGCATCCTCGCCATTTCGACCCTTGGCACATCCGGCCAGAATGCCGGTGCGCGGGCAGGCCAGCGCATGGTCGCCATGCGCATCGACGACTTGCCCGCAGCCTGGGGTGGGGCCACAGTGGCAGAGCAAGGCGCAAGTCAAGCGCCGCCGCAGGGCCAGCTGCATGGCATGCGGATCCATCATGGTGGTGTGCTCTGTCGGCACTGCTGTCAGCCATGCGCCAGCATAGGGTGGGATTGCGACCGGAGCAGGGCCTGTGCACTGGGCGGCAGGGTTGCCAACAACATGCATTCGCGGAAGTGTAGGTTGCGAGTTCGCGACGCATGGAACTGCCAGCCGTGTGGCCAGTCGCCGAGCTTGCGTCTGCCCAGCCCTCGTCGAGGAGGAGAGCGCGCGCGCGCCTGAGCAGCTGCATCGGCGCATGCAGCCATATCTTCTATGCGGCGAGATCCTGCATGCCGTGTGACGGCGTTACTCAACGCAGCTGCGAAACCCGTCCGCGAAACTGAGGAGCACTCGGGTCGTCCGAGCGCATCGCAGACCCAACAGATCGCGCTCGCCGCCATCGCGCCCGCACAGCTCACGACGGAACGATCACTACACGGGACACTTTCCGGTGTCTTGCGCCCTGCCCTAGACAGACAACAAGACAACATACGGTGGAGCTTTCGACAAAGGCTGCACACATTTTCCACTTTGCGCTGCAGTCCTCGCACCAGGCTCAATTGTCGGAAAGCGATGCTGCGCGAAACTGTTGGGTTGCACCTCGACTGTACTGTTGTCTCATGTTGTCTGCCTCGGCGGGCGGAGCCAGAGCAATACCAGCAGCGCGCACCGTCCTTTGGCAGGCAGTGACACGCCGTTCTTGCTCCACAATTCCTTTTCAGGCTGGCCCACGTGGTGATATGGCTTCTGCGGACGACGGTCTGTTGCTCCGTCTTGTGGCCCAAGGCTCTGTCGCGCTTTTCTGGGCACATGCGCAAGATCGAGGGGCATGCCATGGCACGCCCTGAGCCTTGACATGCCTGCATCTAACGTGCGGTGGGAAGAAATGGAAGAAGGCGGCTGGCTGTGCTCGCTGAAACGGGGATAGCCGGAGTGACGCATTCATGCATGAGCGTCCGTCGGTCACTGCAGGCGTGGTTATGTATATAAAGAATACCCCTGCGAATTTACATCGCCGGAATGGAGAGAGAGCGAGACCCCCGACAAGTGATTATTCTCCTCGAAATAGAATGTGGCCCAAACCAATCAGGTGTAGGATCTGCAAGGATCTGCAAGGCACCAGCGTGAATTCTGTTTCCGAGCAGCCCCATCGAGTCAGCTTGGCGTTTTGCCAACAGCACTCTTCTAGGCAAAACTCTTCACTCTGAGTTCTTTCGATCGATGTTACTTGGAATGCTACGAGAAATGCCTGCGGCGACTGCTTTGAGTCAGCTCTTCCGCCTGCGAAGCCAGGCGTAGGACCTGGGCGACAAACGTCCGCTGAACTCAAACAATCCTCAAATGCAAGAGGCAGTGGCCCGATCCCAATCAGAACGACCAAGCCAAGTCCAGGCAATAAGTTAAGAAATACCTGGAGCGAAACACGTGCATGAGGAAGCGATCATCTTAGTTCAAGCAGAGCCTGGCGCTTTCTCTCGGCCACGGCTGCGGACTCGGAAATCCCCAGCCGACCACGCCAAAGGTGTGAACGCAATGCACGACCTGAGAACTCGATCTTGTCGGCACCCCTCTTGAGAGTTCTGGAGCAACTGGAAAGTGTAAACGTGCGGACGTAAATAGGCTTCACTGCTTCTCTTGTCTTTTCCGTGCCTGAACCAATTGTCAATAAATCATGCACTCCGTTGTTCATTCGTTTGTGTGTATATGTGGCTTGTCTCTTTAAACTTGTGTCCCCACCGGATCCTGCTTCGGCCATGGCTGCATGTAATGTGCAGACATGTAAGGGTATTCTCAATATTTTCGGTATCTCGAGATTCTCGAGTACAGGTAGTTGAGTAGCTGCGAATAAGGCATTCAGGGACCATGGGGAGGAGGAAAATTTTCGTGATGATCATACACAACGTTGTCACACAGACGCCAATGTAGCCCACAAGACATGCTTTCCCGAGAAGATGCATAATAAGTCCAAGCCATCCATGCTTGTCAATCTGTCAGGTCGCAAGTTGTTTTTTGCACATAATTGTGTGCCTACATGGCCTACTCATTGAACATGCTTGTCACTGTCGTTACGCCTTTACGCATCATTGCTTTTGCAGCAGTAAGAACCGCTCGAATCATTGCGGCAATATCCAAAGCATAGTCACTAGTCGACACCGATCCAAAACAGCGAAAAACAACAGCGTGTTGCAACGGCCTCATAACGGGCAGAAAACACACACACACACCACTTACCATGGCATTATGTCATGGTGCTGCAGGGTGTAACACGAGTTGATGACATTATGTAGCGAGATACAGTAAACATCCCAGTCAAAACCCGCAGCTGGTGTTTTGTTGCACCAGCGTCAACCTTTAGAGACAATGCAGCACTTGTAAACACGTAAACACCCAGCCCTAAAGTATCCTAAAGGCATGAGCTGTCCCAGCTCCCAAGCATCGAATTCAAGCAGAGCACAGCACCCCCGAGGCCCCGAGGCGCGGCACTATCCCGGAACTTTCGGCTTTCAACATCCCACATGCAGCAGGGCACACGATGGCACACGGCTCCAGAGCCCTCAAGCTCGTTGCTCCAAATTTCTGTCCCCAAGGTGCTATTTACATTTCCACACACAATATACTGAGGTGTTGCTGGACTGTCCCGGATGCAAGAGGTTGAAACATCATCTTCTGGATCTCCGGACACCCTGGTTGTTTGTCAAGAGACAGTAGGGGACAAACAAGTAGTTCTGTTGTCCCAAAACGTGCTAAGAGATGGGGCTCCCATCCGTTATGAGAATGGCAGCAGACGTCTGAAGAAGCTGTGCACTTTCTTGTTACATGTTCGCAGGAGATCGTGACAACAAGCAGACTAGATCTATCAATCACCTCATATGATGTGGCAAGCAGGACATTTTTCTCAGTTTAAGGGGCCCTGCTTTCTGCAGGCTTTTGAACTCTAGCTCTCACATTGAAGCCCCTCCAAAGGTTTCCCCCCGCAGAAGGAGCTCCTGAACTTCTGGAACCAATATGCACACTGCCCACCTGTCAATATGGTCTGCAAGTTGTCAGGGGTTGCATACCCATACCTGGCCCGCCGGACCAACAGCATCTGCAGTATATGACGCAAGTGGTGCGAGCGTAGACCATACAACATTTGCAACGACCAACAACCACGAAATCTGCCGGGTTGCCAATGCCCATCGTCTTTGCTGGCCTGCCGACTTGACAGGATGGTATGTGCTGACCGCGTCATGCATTAAACGGTGGCTGTAGTACAGAAGAGCAATCTGCAACAAACAACCTCGCAGGAAGAGCCGGGCTAAATACTCATTCATTACTCATTCGATGCTTAAGCTGGCTTAAGCCATGCTTGGCCAAGCTGCCTTTCCAGAATAGATGATGATGTTGCCAGCATACTTGTGGCCGCCGACGTGTGAACATTTTCGGACTTGCATGGCGGGCGCTGCGCCAGTCCTTTGCAAAACGGAAGTGCTGGAGCTTACCCATGCCACAGTGAGAGCAGCACATGCACAAACCGTGTCCATGCCAAGGTTCTTCACCAATCGCGTTGCCGATTCCACGAGTCTCGGCCCGCAATGTCCGCACCGCTCATCACGCTTGGTGTGAGCACAAACGAAGGCGAAGGCGTCTTCCTCGACAACAGTGACAAGAACGTCCTTCCTCTACGGCCTATGGCATGCCTACACCACACGCTGAATCATAAGCGTCTGCTTGGTCGGGTCACCAATTTAACACGAAAGTGCTTCGGGCCGGCACACAGTTCGGGGTTGGTAAGGCAAGGCTTTCAATAGCTTGGGTCCGGATCCAGCAGGCAACAAACTAATGAAAGTCAGTGTGGAGCTGGACCAAGGCTAGCTTTTCCGACATGAAATTAAGTCCCTTGTCCGTGATTCGACGACCGAACAGACGGGCATCCAAACCTGGGCTCACTTTGCTGACGGACCATCAGGCCGTGAAGTGTTTCATGCAGCCACGACGGCACGAACCCTAAACTAGATATTGGCATGCAGCAAGCCCTTTTTTTCAGTGTGCAACAAGGATGCACAAATCCGAGCAGACACACACAAGCACAAAAAAACACACACACACAAGCAAGAAGAAAGCGAAAACAAACGCGAGCGAACGACCCAACGAACGTACGTCAAATGTCACATGCCCCAATCCAAGCCGAACGGCAATGTCTTGCACAGAACTGCCTGCACTTTGATCGCCGGTCAAATAGCGCACCAACTCTGGAATTCCTTAGTTGACACTTGGCTTGCAAGTGGGACTGCAGGTCAAAACAGGCGTTGCTCCAGCACCGACCAAGATCGCACGCGAGCGGGGGGAAGACTTGTGTGTCATGAATGCCTGCATTGAAACAAGAAAGGTCACGACATGTTTTTCATTGTTTTGACGTTGTTGCATCTCCCAGCTAGGAAGCAGCTGTGCTGGGATAGACGGCAATAAACATATCTTTACGTGGGCTGCCGGCATTGCAAAAAGCCCTGGAATTGATCTGTTCACCGTAGTTGCTAGTCAGCTGGCTGCTGGGTAAAACAGCGGAGCAACTTCAGATAAGGACAAGCGTCGGGTTGAACCCGCTGGACCACCCCAAAACTCAAGAACGCAATGGCAATACCTCGTTAGCTTTAAGAAGCCCGGTGTGCTGTGACATCCGTCAATAAGGTCGCTCGGGCCGGATTCTTTTCTGAGACAGATTTAGGCATGTTTTAACTATGCGTTATAATTAGCTACGAAGGCGGCGAGGACGACTCGTTACTACTCCTCCACATCTGACCCAGACCCGCCAAAGGGCGGTGGGCCAATTCCCTGGTCAAGGTGCCCCCTCAACATCGTTCGTTGCGAGCAAGTGCGAGCAACCTGCGGTCGTCTTGGCACTTGAGCTACCGTTGCAGAAGCAGTACTAGTGGTCGTCGTGTGGTAGTGGTAGCGGTCGTGGTGGTGGTAGTGCAGCGCCGCCGCGGAACTTGTGTCGATTCCGACCGTGTGAAGTTCAATGTTGGCCGTGCTCGGTGGCCGGCAGTGGAGGGGGGGGGGGGCAGCATCATGGCGTCCATGCATGCTGCGCTGCTATTAATTCGCAGGGCTTGGATTGTCTTGACATTTACTGCTTGGAAATGTTTAAAAGCCTTCTCGCGATTGTGGATCACTGGGAGGCCCGCCCCCAGAGTATGCCGCAGCATCCCTCGACCTGGAGAATGCGGTCATCGTGGAAGGCATAGAAGTCGAAGCAGTAGTTGTTGCAGTAGAAGTAAAAGTGGTAGTCGTCGTCGTCGTCGTCGTCGCGGTGGTGGTCGTCGTGGTCGTCGTCGCGGTGGTGGTCGTCGTGGTCGTGGT